GGGGGGGAGGGGGGGGGGGGGGGGGGAATGAACACCCTCCAAACCACCCACCCCAAATCGTTTTGGGGTGGGACCCTAAAATTCTCCACCCCAAAAATTCGGGGGAGGGAGGTGGGTGGATACCCCGAAATCTCCATCCCAAATATGTTAAGGGGATGGAGACCCCCCCAAAAAAACCTCACCCCAAATACCCGGGGGGGGGGGATTCACCTCAGCCAAATACCCAGAGGGGGAAGGGGGGGGTCCCTGAACCCCAAATTCCCCCCCCATAGGAGGGATCTGCACCCCAAAATCCACCCCTGGGGAGGGGGAAACCCCCAGGGAGACCCCGACCCCAAAACACTGAGGGGGGGAACCCCCACCCCCTGATTTTGGGGACAGAGGGAGGGGTTTGGGGGGTCTGGGGTGTCCCCAGGGGGGGTTTGGGGGGTCCCCACTTACCTGGGGGGGTCAGGGGGGGTTTGCCGGGGCCGAGCGGGGGGTCCCGGGCCCCCCGATTTGGGGGGCAGGGGTTGGGGGGCCGCTCGGCCCCGGCAAAGCCCCCCCGGCCCGGGGGCTGTCCCATAGCCTTTATCAGAGACACGAGAGAGACCCCAAACCCCGGCGGGGCAGGGCCAGCGCAGCCACCCCACAAACTCAGCTGGAACCCCAAAACTGAGCTGGCACCCCAAAAACTGCATTACTGACCCCAAAAACTGAGCTGGCACCCCAAAAACTGCATTACTGACCCCAAAAACTCAGCTAGCACCCAAAAACTCAGCTAGCACCCCAAAAACTGGGTTACTGACCCCAAAAACTCAGCTAGCACCCCAAAACTGACCCCAAAATGGGTTACTGACCCCAAAAACTCTGCTAGCACCCCAAAACTGAGCTGGCACCCCAAAACTCAGCTAGCACCCCAAAAACTGGGTTACTGACCCCCAAAACTCAGCTAGCACCCTAAAACTGACCCCAAAATGGGTTACTGACCCCAAAACTGGGCTACTGACCCCAAAACAGGTTAGTGACTCCAAAATGGGTTACTGACCCCAAAACGGGTTACTGACCCCAAACACTGGGTTATTGACCCCAAACACTGGGTTATTGACCCCAAACACTGGGTTACTGATCCCAAACACTGGGTTACTGACCCCAAAAACTGAGCTAGCACCCCAAAAAGGGTTACTGACCCCAAAACTGGGCTACTGACCCCAAAACTGGGTTACAGACCCCAAAATGGGTTACGGACCCCAAAAGGGGTTACTGACCCCAAAACTGAGCTACTGATCCCAAAAGGGGTTATTGACCCCAAACACTGAGTTACTGACCCCAAAACTGGTTTACTGACCCCAAAATGGGTTACTGACCCCAAACACTGGGTTACTGACCCCAAAAACTCAGCTAGCACCCCAAAACGGGTTACTGACCCCAAAAACTGAGCTAGCACCCCAAAATGGGTTACGGACTCCAAAATGGGTTACGGACCCCACAGTTGAGTTATCACCCCAAAACTGCGTTACTGACCCCAAAAACTATTACTGACCCCAAAAACTGTGGTACTGACCCCAAAAACTGTGGTACTGACCCCAAAACTGAGCTGATCACCCCAAACACTGAGCTGCTGACCCCAATCCCACCCCAAACCCCTCCTGTCCCTCCCCTGTCCCCCCGTGCTGCGCTGGCCGGTGGCCCCGTTGCCGGGGGGTGTTTTGGGGTCTCCAGGTGTCTCACCTGAAGGCTACAGAC